TATATATAATACACTGTTTGTAGCTGAGAGGTTTTTTTTGCATTACAGTGGCATTAAACATTTTCATACATTGTATACATTTTTATTACAATTACAATCTGTAAAAAAAATCTATAAAACTGAACAGAGGATTCATAAATATTCATAAATATTTTTAGAGATATATGTCTAAAGCTGTAAATTTGTACGTTACAATCTGTCCAAAACTGAAATTGTTCACATCTGGGTTTTTTTTCAATCAGAATATTTAGACTTGTAGATATGTACAAATACTAATGAGATCACTTTGTATTATATCATGTCAGAAGCATTACCAGCATAACTAGCTGTCATATCAGACAATATCAGCAGACATTTCCCAGTTATTACAGACATGAAGTTTCCTTATGGATCTCTGTGGAGCCTCTCAGACAGTTTGTTCAGGCATCAGCTCAGTGTGAGGAGGGAGCCGCTGTCCGTGGTGCTGAATTGCCTGTTGTGTTGTCTGTAGCGGAGATTACCTTAAACCCTACTGACTGACTGACTGACTGAGCAAGCAAGGTGCTGATCTGGCAATACCAGCCTGCTGAGAAGCTGGAGTATCTATCTGCCCGTATTGTTGTGTAAGGATAGATATCTAAATGATCGAAAGCTTTTTGCTATTGCCTGTTGCTCCAATCCACAAGAAAAAAAAAAGCAAACTCTTGTAATCTTCTCCCTCTTTCTCTGTCTCCCTCTCTATTTTTACTCAGCCAGCATGCACTGTCAAACTAATCCTCTTTGGTTTTGAAGTTTGCACTTTGTGTGACTTCTGAAACAACCTCTCATTCTGGCATCAGATTCATGCATGCAGAAATAAAATATGAGAATGTGAGAGGAGAAATAACAACTGATGGACAGAACAGATAAAAATGAAAAGATGACAAGGAGATGAATGATCAATTAGCTGTGTGAAGCCAGAAATTTTAAGCAAGCAATAAAGCAAATGAAATTGCATCAAATTTGTGATCATTATTATGATGAAATCATCATACATTAAAGAAAATATTTACATTAAATATTGTCATATATGTAACAATCTATCCATCCATCCATCCATCCATCTTCTTTATCTTTACAGTAATGAGATTGATCTTTGGATGATAAATTATTCTTGATTTTAATGAAAATAATGTCAGATTGCACAATACATAAATAAATATATAAATACATTTATTTATTTAAAAGTAAGTAAGTAAATAAATGAATAAATAAATGTTCAATGTGAACTAGTGGGGCTTTAGTAAGCTGTTTCTGTTTTTTTTTTAATAAATATATAAATGTTCTTCTGAATATATGTAACATTCAAATCCGTTTTAATTCTGACAAACTCATTTATCATTTAGTCTAAGACTTCAGCTTTGCAATAATATATATATTTCACTGACTAATTTCTTAATTAGTATGAGGAGTGTACATAAAATCAAAACACTTTTATTATGTACTATTTGGTTTTCACCGAAATATCAATGGTTACTTTACTTCACATCAATATTTTACTTCACATTTCAATTAAGAAATTAATCACTAACATATTTTTATTGCAAAACAGAAGTCAAATATTGAACCTAATTTATTGAAGCTTCTATTTATTTTCCATTACAGTAATGAGATTGGGGTGAGAAATTGTGCTTGATTTTTATGAAAATAAAGGAAGAATGGAAATAAATTAATTAATTAAGAAAAAAAATATTTTTTTAAAATCTTGACAAATGGTCTGTCATTTGGTCTTAGAGAAGTCAATATTTGCAATAAAATATCTCATAGTGACTAATTTCTTAATAAGTGTGAGGAGCAGGCGATATATAATACATAATAAAAGTCCTGTTTTTATTTTATTTAGTTTTTATGGTGAGGGTTCATTACCCAACATCCAATTAAAACATTTAGTGTGCACTGAAATATTGATACTTTACTACACATTTCATTATAACTGCATGCTACTATCAGCATAATTTTCTTGCAGGCAAATACAATGTCTTATATCTTTCTTTTTTCTTCAGGTTTTGTGACATTCACTCAGCTAAAGGTGAGCTCAGGAATCAGACGTGAGAGAAAAAAGCAGACACTGACAATAGCTCGGGAAGCTGTGTTTGCATTATTTCATGCACCAAGTGCATTTAATTACCAGCTTCTAATTACTGCTTTGCGGATTCATCTACATCACTTTTTTGCCACCAAGCTCAATCTCGTCCCGGTCTGCTGTTAGCCATCTACCTCTTCCACACCCCGACCGGCCGAAATAAAGCCTTGCAGATAATTACAGAACATGGAGATCGCTTGCTCTGCGGTTTGGTTTAATTAGCTCTCCTTCCTTCATCTTTGCCTCTTTTCTCGTTTCCTTTCCTCCAAGCTGGCCGGCAAGAGAAAGTGTGCGAAATGCCTGAAAGGTCACTGATGATTCATATACAGCCCGTTGTTTCTCCTTCCTGTGTATTTATGGTTGTTTGTAGCATTCTGCTAAACTCCTGATGGTATCTGAATACGACACCGAGTTCTGCTGTTACCGAAGACCTCCAAAACATATGGATTCACTTCGGCAAATGTCAGGCATTAATTTGCTGTGAAACACTGGGCTGGTGAGCAGATGCTGAAGTGAGATATTAGCATTGGTGGAAAACGGAAAATTATTGAGTTAAATATGACAAAAAAAAGGACATTTACTAAAATATCAGTTTTGTCTTGTGCTAACAATCACTACAATCTGTTCCTCATCATTAGCCGTGACTGCTCGCGTATATCCACATCGACACAAGGACAAAGTCAAGGAAAAATATCTCAATTATGGCACACAGAGAGTTGAGTGCAGGAAAAGCAGCATCAATAGTGGATTGTGATTCAGTCAGCACTTACGGTCTTCATTTGAAAACTCAATTTTTCACCGCTGACATCTTTCAAACGACGTAAATGGAAAAACTGTTTATTTCTGCCTTGCAATTAAATACAGCGTAAACAACTTGTTCATGAAGCTCTGCAGTATTTCTATGGAAGAGCTTTTGGGGCTTTATTTAGTGTCTGGAATAATGTAGTCAAAATATCCACTGATCACAACCATCTGTGTCTGATTAGGCTGTAGTTATTTGATATGACTTGATTAGTTTTTAAATGAAAGTATACAAAGGCTCAACTGTAAAAGTCTGTGGTTTGTAAACCATTTTTGTTTGTTTGTTCATTTATTTATCTTTTTAGTATAGTTTATTTAGTTTATTCAAATCTAGCTATTTCATTTAAGTAATAGATGTTTTGTGATAAAAAGTAAAACTTTTCCATGTCACCATAAATGCCATCAGTTAAAAATAAATACTTTATAGTATGTTGAAATTACAATAATGTATTTTATTTTATTTTTTATTATTTTTTATTTTGAATTGCCAAATAATTTTC